CACTGTATAAATTGGTATTTTGGTACTCCATATTATTAGATAGTATTCTAATGAGGTAGTACTCTAATTTTAGAAAGCTTGAATTTTTGGAGCAAGTCAACAGTATCTAAAAAGATAAAACGAACAGCTCAAGAAATGGCAGTTATTGCTAAGAAAGATGTCACACAGCATCCAAACGTTTCCCTACCCATGCATTAATCATTTTTTTGGAAAAGCACTTTTTGAAAATAAATTAAAGCTTGACAGACTAGCTGTTCTGGCAACCATTGATAAGGACTGATATCTTCTTGGTGTTATGCCATAAGCCTCTTCATCTGAAGAAGATCATTACAATTAAGTGATGAAACTTCTAAAAGTATACATAAAGGATCTCTAGTAAAAATATCTACTGTGCTAAATAAGTGTCTAGTTCTCTTAGCTTGTAGACATCATGTTTCTGAGTTAACGAATGTAATGAATGAAAAAACTATGGGCCCTAATAATCCTCTGTTTAAACAATTCAAAAACTTGTTCAAGCAGCCTAACTTCGAGTATAAACCATCTTTGCTAGTTGAACTTTCTGGGGATGAAGTTAACGGAACTATTTTTGAAAAAGCTGCTATAAATTCTCTTGACTATTGTAGGTTTTAATTATCAAGAAATGATATTGCCAGGGAAATTAGAAAAGAGTTGGCAGAGCTAGTGGTTAGCTATCTTTCTGCTTCTAACAATAAAGTTAAAATAACAGGAGCTATTCATCATGCAAGATTTTTAGGGAAATCTATATACTATTCAAAAACGCAAATTCTTTCAAATTAAATTGATTTTCTTCAAAAAAGCAAAGAACACATTAAGTTAATAACAGAATTTGTAGCTTGGTTTTATGCAAATGAAATAATCTCCTTACATGGATGTTATTGCCATTCATAAAATGCATCAATGTAAAGCAGTATTTGCAGAACCAGATGCCATAGATGCTGTGTTGAATTCATAGTTCAAACATACATGGTATCTAGGTTCAGCACTGATTCCTTTAACCTTGCTAGAGGGTGATGTTGCACTTGAAGAGAAGTAAAACTTTCTGCTGAAATATTTGATTATATACAAAACTAATGCTGTGCTATTTTAAAACAAAAAATAAAAAAAACAAAGACATAAAAAAGTTGTTAACACTTTAACTAAATATTCATCAACAACTTCCTAGCTTAGCTCTTTTGGTTTATGAATTCTCCTGGTAAATGTTTAAGATGATTGGAATTGATGAACAACAAATTAAGGACTGGCTGACCTTGTTTCCTCAGTATTGAAACATGCAATCATCATATAGATTATTTCTTAAGTTTGCAAAAAGTATTGTTTGCGTAAATGACCATCTGAGAGGACTATTTGAATGATGCAACAATTAGTTCACCGAAAAAAAATTACAGATGGATTAACATACACTCCCAAATATAAAAGATAAATTGAAATAAGTTACAAAAAGTTTGTATCATTCAATCAACTTTAGAAAATTTTTTTTTAAAAAGATAAATTAAAATGAAATTAAATGTCTTTTTTAGATGTCAAACAATGTATATATGATATATATAACATATATATATAACAATATATGAGTCATATAAATGCAGAATTATCATGCATTATTTTGTCAAATGCATAATATTTCTAAAATTATTTTTTTTGCAGATTTTTTTGCAAAATCTTTTTTTAAATTAAACAACAATTATAAAAAAAAACCAAGATGCATAATAATCTAAAAAAAAATTGGAGTGATAAGCACCTTAAAAAAAAAATTACAAAATATTGAGAATTTACTTGCACTCAAAACCAAATAATTTGGAAACACTTTAGGGCATTTTTCAGAGTATTTTGCCACTTGAGCTTATTATGGTCCAATTTTTTTTTTGTATTTATGTTTAAAAATTTTTATTTTTCAAACACCCCCAATGTTGCTACAAAGCAGTTGTCAAGTAAAAGTAAAATTGTAAAACTTGATATATGTTTTAACATTTCGTAACTTAAAGTTTATAAAGTTAGATATTTGTATACACCTTTGTTCATGTTTTCTTATAGAAAAAATGCATTTCTTTCTTGCTGTTACCTCAGTTGCAATGATTGTCATGAGTACCCTGTCAATCATTTATGAATAAGTATTAACATTAAGTTGCTCAATATATATATATATATATATATATATATATATATATATATATATATATATATATATATTAGGGCCCTACAAATCGAGTCGATTGCTGCTTCGATTCAGGATTCAATTTGAAAAAATGATTTGAACTTTCGAATCATTTCATTGTTTTTTATTGTTGTTTGTTTTCATACATATGGCGTTAAAAAGTTATTTAAATAATAACATATATTGAGTAAAGAGATTTTGTAATGTAATTTAATAAAATTAATTGCTAATTAGGGATTTAAACAGCTGATCGCAAATTAGTAACACTTAAACTGTTTAGTTTAACACTTCACTTTTCACTTAAAGTAATTTTGATTTAAATATTTTTGAGTGCTACAAGTTGTACATAAAAAAATTTCACTTCAAGCTAAAAAATGAATTACCTAAAAATCGGTAAGTTAAAGAATTCTTTGAAAAAAAAGGAACATTTTGGCAATGCAAACAAAAAAATGGCAATAAAAAGTATTTTGTTTAAAAAACTAGAACTTTATCTTATCTATGGAACTATTTAAAATCTAAAAAGTGTGCATCTTCTACAAAAAATAAAAGAATTCCGATAACATAATTGAAATATTCATTAAATTCACATTGGACCTCAAATTGATACAGTTATTAAAAAAAAAGTTTGATCATGCAGTGCTTAGATTTATGATTGAAGCTGGAAGATCATTTGAGACAGCTTCTGGATCTGGCTTCATCAATTTGTGATTGGTGTTTACTCAAGGACAATACCATCAACCACACCCGACCACTTTATCTCGAAATTTAGATGATATGGTTAATGATCTATATAATAGCTTCCAACAAAGTATAAAAAAGCAGTTTATCTCCAAACCTAGCATCTCTTTTGATCACTTTAGGGCCAACAATCGCGATAACTTTCTTGTTTCTACTTATCACTATATTTCATCCTTTCTGGGTTTTAGAATCATGTTGTTTATCAGTTGTAAATCTGGAAATAATAAATGCTTGTCACAAAGTTACTTCCACTGAAGAAATTTTAAGAAATGTTTTGTCGAAGTTTGTCTTTTTTGAAAATTTGAAATTTGATAATATTTTACAAGCTACAGCTGACACTACCCTAGTATGCCATGCGCACTTAAACTTCTTGGAATTGATTGGCTAGGATGCTGTGCTCATAAACTCCAACTTTGTGTGAAATCATATATCCACAACCAACCAATTCTTGCGACATTTGCGACTTTGCGACAGTTAGCAAAGCTCATAAAATAGTTGGAATTTTTCACTCATCACCATTCGGACAGGCAGCTCTCAAAAAGTAGATTTCTCAAGTAAAACCTGAGTCAAAGCTTCCTATGGATTTGGAAACACGCTCTAACAGCACTTCTAATTTATTGGAATGGATTTAAAAAAATCATAGTTCTATAGACCTTGCTCTAGTTAAGTGCACACAGAAAAAAAAACTGTATGAAAGTGCCACCGACTTGTCTAGCTGAAATGTAAGTGCAATTATTAACAATTGTCACGCCTATTTTAAATGCAGTATCTGAAGCCACTTTTATTATAAGTGCAGAAAAAAGCGAGAGCATTAGTTTAGTTTATCTGTGCATTACAACTTTGAAAAATTGCCTTTACTCAATGGATGAAAGAGGGATTGGTAAATTTATTGATGATCTTATTTTGCAAGTGGAAATCAGGTTTGAATTAAGTGATGATGCTTTTTTTCTCTACCTTAATTTAAATCAGATTTAAATCAGTAATATCGGAAGAAAAACTGATTGAGACTGTAAGAGATTGTTGAATGTTACTTAATGGTATCTGAAAAAAAGCACAATTTATTTCTTTGATTCCAAATGAAATTCAACTTAAGGGAACAAATTTCTTATCTGAAACAAAAGGAATTTTAGATAAAATGTTTATACATGTTTGTAAAAACTTTACCATACCAGAGAGAAGAACTTTAGATCAGCAATTAAAACTTGAAATTATTGTGTACTAGAAAAAACACTTGAAACGGTTAAATTGGGCTAAAATAACAAAAAAGAGCTTATTCAAAAAACATTCTAATTGTGAATATATATATATATATATATATATATATATATATATATATATATATATATATATATATATATATATATATATATATATATATATATCATGAAAAATATAGAGATAAAAAACTTAAATTTGAATTTACTTAAAATAGTGATTCAATTCAAGATTCGATTCACAAATCAAGTGCTGCTTTGATTCGAGATTCAATTTGAAACTAAAAATGCTGAATTGCAGGGCCATAATATATATATATATATATATATATATATATATATATATATATATATATATATATATATATATATATATATATATATACATATATATATATATATATATATATATATATATATATATATATATATATATATATATATATATATATATATATATATATATATATATATATATATATATATGTATATATATATATATATATATATATATATATATATATATATATATATATATATATATATATATATATATATATATATATATATAATATATATATATAAATTTTGTTTTCTTTTTCTGAAAAAAGTCTGCATTTTAAAAATTTCCTTCAGGTATAAGTAACATATATATACATATTACCTTTAAGTTTATTAAAACTATTTTAGTCTAAAGGTAATATAAAACATGTTTTCATTTTTTGATTTTTTGTTGTAACTTTATTTTATTTTTTATTTTATTTTTTCATTTTTGTTGTTATTCTTTTTTCTTTTTTTTTTCTCAATTCTAAAAACAAATTATTTTATATTAAAATATATGCTAAGCTTACTATAACAAAATTATTTACATTCAGATCAGAAATTTGTTAAAAAATAGAGAGGCTGTTAAAAAATTATTTCTGGAATCAGAGTTCATCAAAGTTGACACAATGACAATGGGTAAGAAAATTCTTTGCTAAGATGTTCATCCAAAAAAGAATAAGAAAGTAAATTTTTTTGTTTTGTTTTGCTTTCGAACAATTACTTTTTAGCTTTGGTGCAAAACCCAATGATGTTTCTTACTATTATTGACACTGCTGATGCTGATTGGTAAGTCTTATATGTATTTTTGTCGAATTGATTGTAATAATTTTTTTCACTATATTTATCACCTTCAGAAGGTTGAGGGTGTTACTATAGTCAAGGAGGCTAATCATTATTTATTATATTTTTTTATGACTTTTTTTACCCCTATGATTTTAAAACACATAATCTAACATAAAAACGGCTGCTACACAGAGAAGCAAGTTGAGCACAGCACTACCAAGTTTAGTGGGGATTGAACTTAGTATTTTTGGGTCAATAAACTTTTTTCTTAGTTTATTTTTAAAAATATTCTTACCACTACGATAGTAAAAAGGTATGCACAAATATTAGAATGTGTAAAAACATAGAAATGTGTGTGAAATGTTGAGGTATATAAAAACATGGTGTATATTATAAATTATTGTTGATAAGTAGTTATTATAATTGTTGATAAGTGTTTATTATTAGGGAAATATTTTATTCCTTCAATAACGTAACTGCAATATGGATGGCTAAAAAATAAAGATTGGATTTGAACACATAAACATAGTCTTGGAGCATCTTTGAAAGCAAAAACAAAAATATTTAAAAAAGAAAAAAAAAGTGGACTTACTAGAGTTATTAAAAATTGTTAATTTATAAAATGAAAACCAAGCACATCATGCAAGTTGGTTATCACAATTATAAAAAATGTTTGATAGCTTAAAAACTTTAAAACAAGAATTAAAAAAAAAATAAGTCCATTTTCGTTTTTACGTTATTGATATTGTCTTTTGAGAGAGAGTGATGCCCCCTTTGATTAATTTAGTTTTTGTTTGTCCACTTAAAACAAGGTGCAGCAGCATCTTCTTCATTGACTTAATGGTCGAAATATAAATAAATAAACTTCCAAATATATATAAATAAATAAACTTCTAATAGGTGTTTCTTAAATATTGCTTGTAATTTAGTATGTTAAATGAAGTAATAAATTATAATGAAGTAATAAATTATATCTCAATAAAAAACCTCAATATTCAAATATTAAATTGTTACAATGTATTACATTTTAAATATTTTTTTTTTTTTTATTTTTTTTTTATTTTAATTCACCTCCTCAAGGCCGAGAAGGCCCCTACAGACGAGGAGGCTACTTATTTGTGGTTATAACCCTCTCTCAACTCTATAACTCCGAAACACGAACCTTGACGAGCGAGGCCGCTGCGCGGAGAAACGAGTTGAGCGCGGTACTACCAGGGACGTGGTGGGGATCGAACTCGGAACCACTCGTTTATGAAGCGAGCGCTCTACCACTACACCACTACCGCATTTACCAGGTACCATTGTATACTTTGGACAACAGCAACCTAATCACAGGTTTGAAATTTAAATCCTAACTTCTTTATTTATTATCAAATGAATTCCAATGATGATATTCATTTAATGCAGTTAAATCAATATCATCATTTGAATTATTATCTTAATGTTGATTGCATCTATTATCTTCAATTGCATCACATACATCATGAGCTTGATTAATCTCTTCACAAAAATTGGTTACCAACTTTCCTGCTCTTTTTTGTTTACTCAAATTAAATTTGAAATACATTGCAAAATATTCATATAAATTTCAAGGAAATAAATATGCAATAAATTTCAAGGAAATAAAGTAAGAGTTCATATCATGCATAGTTTGAGTAAATATATAAGCAAATTTACTTGCCTAGTATATCATTACTAATTTATCTTCTTGGCAAGGTCCAAAAATGTAATGTAAATATAGACTTTATAATATATCTACTAAGCTTTATATTATATCTACTAAGCTTTATAATATATCTACTAAGTTTTATATCTGCTAAGCTCAAGTCTCTGTCCTATCGTTGTTTGCATCTCTTTCTTTTTTCTTCAAATACTATCACTCTTGCTTGACTCATTCAGCAAAGTTGCATTCATTTACTGTTTCTTCCCTCACACATTAGTACTTTGGAACTTTCTCCCATCTTCATGTTGTTGTTTTTTCCAACATCTTTACTTCCAACAAAGCTGCAAGCAACCACTATTAGAGTTTTAAGTTACTATAAGAGAAAAGATGAAGTTTATCGAGCAAAATAACGATTGACAGATGTCTTAAAAGATTGCAAATTATATGAATCAGGAAAGCAAGATGAAGAAAGCAAATTCCAAAGAACTGATGTTCGAGAAAAAAAACTAGATAAATAAGAGTTTTCAGAGCCCTTAGAAATAGTCATAGTAAAAGGATGAGCTTTAATTAATTGACAATTAACACGAGAATGAATTTTAGTAGATGGCACAAGAGGCGCTAGCTCTTTAGAGCAGTCCCTATTATAGTATTTGTAGAAAAGAGAAAGAGAAGCAACATTATGACAATGTGACAATGGTTGGAGGTCGGCTGTAAGAGCATGTCCAACTATATTACAACATGTTTTTGAACCTTGTCTAAAAGAGAATGGGCATCATTGGAAGATCCGCCCCCGATATGGCAACAGTATTCCATACAAGGACGGATTTGAGATTTAAAGAGATAAGCAATAGAATCTAGAGTAAGAAAGTGTCAAGCACGATAAAGAGATGCAACCTTAGCAGATGCTAATTTTGCAAATGACTTGGTTTATTGTTTTCAAAAAAGATCAAAAGTAAGAGTTAATCCTAGAAGATGAAGGGTAGATGACTCAATGAGTACATTACTGTTTATAAATAAAGAAAACTATAATTTTTAGACAACCAGAAGCCTAACTTTGTTAACTTTTTTAGTTCTGTTGAAATTTACTTTGAGTAGCAAAAAAAATACAAGGAAATATCTATTATATTCATGTAGCTAAATTTGCTCCTGAAGGTTGTAATTGCACTCCATTCAAAAATGTTTTACAAAATGAATCAAATGTCAGGATTAAATATCAAGGTGACCCAAATTTAGTCAAAATTAACCTTTTTTCAGAAATTCAACATACTAAGGTTTCCTATTCATAGTACAGCGTATAAAGAGTTCCCGTAAAAAATATTTTACTTTTAATATTTTGAGAACAGCTAAAAGTAAAAACTGAGTTTTAATGAAAAAAATTAATTTTCATGAAAATGGAACATTTTTTAACTTTATTATGAAATGAAATGTAATTTAGCAGCTTTATTTGCTTCAATACAATTTTACTAATACAACATGCACTATCATGTTCAACTTTGCTGAATTTCAAAAACAAAGTAGTAAAGTGTAAGGCTTTAGTAGAGTAAAGTGTAGTACTTAGTAAAGTACCTTGTATTCATATAGAATACAAGGTACTCTACCAAGTGTTTTTAATCATTGTTTAGAAAGTCAATATGATCAGTGGCTTGAGTAATTAATTTCTTAGACTTTATAAACTATTAAGATCACTTTCAATAACCAGCTCACTTTTAGAAAGTTTTTTGAATTTCTTCTGAGTTCCTGCTTTAGTAACAATAGGGTAATAACTATCCATGCAAGCCTGCTTGTTTAAAAGGTCCCACAGTTTGCTCTTTAAAAGTAGAAGGTCTTGGTCCTCTTGGATTGTATCATACCCTTTTGGCATTGAAGTATCATTGCGCATGGAGGCTGTTGAGAAACTGATGTCAAACAGTTTATCGGTCATTATTCCAAAACCTTTCTTGGGTATTTTTGATTTGGTTACATTTAAAGTGTTTTCTCATTACAAACAGCTTTATATTGCTTTTAAATTCCCAGAAACTTTAGAATGCTTACCTCAGAAAAAACAGGCCCAAATAAAATATTTTTGAGTAAACAGTATTTTTCTATCACAGCATTACAGGGCCTTTCATTCCTTTTGCACTTTATATCTCCAGAAGATGTTTTTTGTGCAAAGTTATGACTATTAGTAGGCAATTGCTTGCTAGGTAGAGAGCTCAGTAGAGTTTCAAAGAGGTGGACAGACCTTCTTGAGTTTTAATTGATCAGTGTTACAGTGCCTTTTTTAGCTTTTGCTCTTCCAGTTTTTCTGAAGTATTTAAAAATTTAAACAAAAAATTTATTTAAATATTTACAAAATTGAAATCAAAGGTAAATCAACTTTGCTTTAAAGTTTATTGAGTATTAATACAATAAGAATTAAATAGCAGAGAGTAGATACCACTACTAATGTCTCATTTTCAGTTCATATGGGTCTTTATATTATAGGGTCCTTCGAGTTGGGAGAAGAAATGGAAGGGGGAGTTGGTGGGCATGGTCAATATGATTATGAATAAAATATGTATAAAATTAAACAGAAATTCTTATTGCACATCAGCAGTATTCTACTAATTCCTGTGTGTATGCTTGAACAGGAAATGCTGTCTACTGAAAGTTAATTAAACTGATTTTCAACTTCACTAATTCTTTTTAAAAATCACTTTTTTACTCCAGATTCTTTATCTCTATAAATCTTTTATCTGTTCTTGTATGGAATACTGTTTCCATATCTGGATTGGATCTTTGAATAATGACCTTTCTCTTTTAGTCAAGGTGCAAAAGTACATTTAAACATAGTTACACCTGCTCTTGCTACCAACCTTCAACCATTGTCACATCATCGTAGTATTTTTTTTTTTTCTCTTTTCTATAAATACTATAATGGGCATATAGCTCTAAAGAGCTAGCGTCTCTTGTGCCATCTACAAAAATTGATTCTCGTGTTACTTGTCATTCAATTAAGTCTCATCCTTTTACTGTGATTACTCTTAAGTGCTCCAAAAAATCTTATTTATCTAGTTTTTTTCTCAAACATTAGTTCTTTGGAATTTTCTTCCTTTATTTTGTTTTCCTGATTCATATAATTTGCAATTTTTTAAGTCATCTGTTAATCGTTATCTAAAGTTCATCTTTTCCAGTAATTTCTAAATCTAATAGTGGTTGCTTTCAGCCTTGTTGGAAATGAAGATGCCTAAAATTTTGAAATATTAGGGTGTTACACAAACAAGTGCAACACTAGGATATTATATAGACAAGTGTAATATTAAAGTGTTACACTTAATTGCGTGAAATAGAACTTAATTGTGTGAAATAGAACACTAGGAATAATATTTAAAAACTTTAAAATGATAATAAGTTAACTAAAATGTATTATTAATAAAATAAGTATTAAGTTAAAATGATTGAAATTTTGTTAACTTAAATTATGTTTAACATTATAATTATAGTATATATTATATAGTTTAATTATATCTAATAAAAGTATATATTATTATGATATCTATATAAAAATATCTTTAACGTATTTTAAAATTTTTTTTGAAGTTGAATGGATTTGAATTAGTTTAACAGATAAAACAAGTCTTTTAAAATAAATTTTGCAACTACTAAGAAGTTTAAGAGTTTTATTTTTCGAATCTTAATTGTTTAGCATTGCTGCAAACCATCAGTCATTTGGAAACGCACTTAAACATGTTGTTCAGTGGGTAGAGCGAACAGAAAGAAAGGTTCAGGCCAGTGAAGAAGATGAAAGTGAAGATAATTTATATGATTCGGTTTGTTTCTAGATACTATTTTTTAATTTGATTTTTTAAAGTAAATTAACATTAAAATAAAAGTCAAAATTTGATTGGTAATTTGTCACCAACACAAATTTGGTTCTCCTATAAATTCAAATGTAGTAACTTTAAATAATTTTAAAAATTATTTGACTTATGCTGAATTTATAATTAAAGAAGGACAAGAGCAACTTTAAATCTATTGTTTGGAGTAGTACTAGCAAATCTAAACTCAAATGTCTCTATAAACAGCAGAAACACGAGCACAAGTTATTTGTTTTCAAAATTGATCTGCTAACGCTAAGCCTTTTATAGGCTCTTGATAATTATCAAATAAATGTGTTCAAAATCATGCAACAACAACATCAGATTGTAAAAGCTCTCAAGGTTTTCGAAAATATTTTTTTTGTAAAATATCAAACTGATACAATACTCAATCTTCAGGAAAATTTAAAAAACCATTTCATAAATCAAAAATTTTGAAATTTTTTGAATTTTTGATTTTAAATTTCCTATCATAGTCTGGTGCTATTGAACTATTTTACAAACCTGAGTCATAAACTTAAAAGAAAGTTTTAAAGAAATCAATTCAGCTCAAAAATTCAAACACTACTTAATTGAATGTCGATTTATTACTCGATTTTTCTGATCACTTTTTTCTTAACCTAAAGTTACAGATGATAAGTTTTGTTTTTTGGTTTTCCTGTCTTTAAATTATTATATATACTTTAGTATATTTTTTTATTTAGTTTTTTTAAATATTTTATAATTTATTACTTGACATAGATAAAATAAATTAAAAAAATCCATGCTCACAGAGAGTTTTGTTTTAATTTTGAAACTTAATGTCTAAGTTAAAATTGCCACCAATCATGAATTATTTACATTTTACAATAATATTTAATTTTAGTATTTTGCACAATCAGAAATTTCATTAAATGAAGAAAGCCAAGAACAGGAACCAGAAACTAGCAGGAACCAGCAAATATCTGAAACCAGTCAACAACTGGGTCCAGCAAACAGGAACTTGCCACAAACAAACAATCAATCTCATCCACAAATATCAGCATTAGATCTTGCTAATGCGCTCTCATTTGCTTCAGCATACATAGGTATTTTTATAATATTTCTTTCTTTAATATTTTGTTCAAATGTTTAATTAAGTATATTAATTTGATAAGTTAATATAGAATTGAAATTATAATTAAAAATGTAAAAGCATTTATACCTATTTTAAATAAAATTTTAAAATGTAAAAAAAATGTAAAAAAAATGTTAAAAAAAATGTTAAAAAAATGTAAAAAAAATGTAAAAGCACTTATACCTATTAAAATGTAAAAAAATTAAAAATGTAAAATTTAAAATGTAAAAGCACTTATACCTATTAAAATGTAAAAAAAATGTAAAAGCGCTTATACCTATTTAAATAATATATAAATATATATATTTTTTTTGTTATTGGTATCATTTTATTTTACACATTACATTTTTATTGATAGAATTGTAAAAATCTAAAAGTTTTGTAAGTATACACGAAAGCAACCCTTCGAATTAGGATTGATATTTGGCAATGCCGACCTAACTGCCAACCTAAAAGTGTTTGAGGTTGGGAAAAAGTTGCAACCTTGTTTCTATGTTTTATGGTAACCCATTTGTGTCAAATTTCCTTACACACATTAATACGCATGTAAATGCATATATATGTGTACATATATATATATATATATATATATATATATATATATATATATATATATATATATATATATATATATATATATATATATATATATATATATATATATATATACATATATACACACACACATATATATATATATATATCTATGTATGTATATATTCAGGCCTTGTTTTAAAGTGTTACGCGTAGAAGGATTTAGGTAGGCCTTGAGCGATTGTACATAAGCAGTAAGTGATTTCAGTTAAGCGACTTTTTATCATTTTTTAACTTTTAAATTATTCGATAAGTGGTAAGGTAGAAGAAGTAATTAAATTTTAATAAAGTCACATTAACTTTTAAATGACGTTTATGTAAAAATATTTGTTATAAAAGTTTGAATGATAATTATGTTTGATATAAGTATATTTATAAGATATTTATTAAGTTTATTTATAAGATATTTATTAATGAAAAAAATTTAAGTTAAGTTAATTTTTATTTTGTTAAAAGTTAAAAGTTAATTTTTATTCATATAAAGGTAATTTAATTCTGATAAAAAATATATGATTTAATTTAAAACTAATTTAATAAAAATATATAATTTTGTTCTGATAAAAAAAATATAATTTAATTTAGGTTTTAGAAATTTATGATTTAATTTTGATTTTAAAAATATATTTAAGTTTATTAAAATTAAAGTTATTGCTTGGTTTTAACTCAACTATCTGTCAAATTTATTTAAAAATATTACTAAATATTATTCAATATTGAAATTTTATTTGTTCTTAAATAAAAATTAGCTCATTTTTATCACAATTGTTTTTTCAGTTTTCTTTCCTACACAATTTTTTTTTTTTTTTACTCAAAAAAAAAAAATTGTGTTGCAAAGCCACATTTAGAAATTTAAGAAATAATCATTTTAAAAATTCAAAAGTTTAACATATTTTAATATTACATATTCATTTATGCAAATGTCGAGAAAAGAAAGAAATTTGTTATTAACAAATATTTTTAAAAATGCAATATTAAATTTAATTATTTAGTTTAAAAAAAAAATAAACATTGCTTTATAATAATAATAAAAAACCTGTTAAATAAGAGTTAACTGGTTTTGCGGTAATTAATATTATTGCAGTAATTTTAAAAAGTTAATGTCTTTAAAAAATAAAAAAATAAAGAGAATTTTATGACATCAAATATCGCATATGCATAAAGCATTTTTTATATAAAACAAGGCCTGATAATATATATACTCTAGGACTATTAGACACACTTTCTCAACCTAAAACAGCATATATTTCATATATTTTGAGTGCGTCTAATTGCGCTTCTGTAATATATATATATATATATATATATATATATATATATATATATATATATATATATATATATATATACACACACATACATACATATGTATATGCGCATATGTTTGTATATATATATATATGTATATATACATATTTATATATATATGTTTATATATATGTATGTATTGTAATACATATTTTTTCCAGTGTAGGATGTCAAATGCTTGATCTTCTTGCCTCATGCATGGGTTTTGCTTGTGTCTGTTTTTATAACTAGGCAATTCATTCTACTATCTCCTAATGAGGGTACAGCTCTTAAACTCAGCTTTATGGTTCTGAGGCCAGCTGGTCAGGTTTCCTAAAGTTTGTAGCAGCTCTCAGAGAGGCTGATTCCATGACCAGCTGTAAAATATCAGAGTACTAACAGTGCCTTGTTGTGTATGGATGGTGTCCCTGTTGTTACTTTTGGTGTGCATTGTTCAGGCCACATTTGGGGTTGCTTAGGGTTTACTAATAGTATTGAGGCTAATGCTTGGACCATTAAATAGTGTACTGAGTACTATCTCTGCTTCAAGTCAAGTTCTTTAACAAATTTAAAAGTGACTAAAGTACCAAAAACTAGAAAACTCAAAAAATCATTGTCATCACCAAAATCTCTAAACCTCATCATTCACTAATATTTGTGGTCTTCAAAGTAAATTTTCTTCTGTAGAGTCTTATCTCTTGCAAAGTTCACCAGACCAACTTGATCTTTGTGAGAATTATTTGAGTTCCGCTGTCTCATCTTGTGATCTTAGTGTTGATGGTTATCTTTCTTTAATTTGTAAAGACTCCAATAGTCACCTGCTTGGCCTAGGCAATTACATTTGTAAGACCATCTATTTCTAAGGAAACTAGGTTTGAATTCCCAGGCTATTCTTTTATGTGCTTTTGTTTAGCACCACTTCACTTTCTCTTTGTTCTACCACTCTTCTTTATCTCGACACTGCACTTTTTTCTATGTTATTTCTGATCAAATTGGTCTCACCCTCTCTCTTTATCCTTTAGCCAATATTGTTGTTGTTGGTGACTTTGATGCTTATCACACTAAATGGCTTAGTTCTAGTGTCATTGACTATGCAGGCGTTAATGCCCACATTTTTTTGTCTTTCTCAATCTCTAACTCAAACAGTTAACTTTCCAACTCATGTTCCACTTAATTCACCCTTAAGTGCTTTTAATCATGGTTTGATCTTTTTAAAACTATTTTCTCATTTTTCTCCATCATCGGAATCCCTCATATTATTTTACCTCTTACAGCTACCTTAAAGCTGATTGGGACTCTTTCTGTGATTTTCTTCGTAATGGCCCTTGGGTAGAAATCTTTCATTTTCCTGCTGACAAATATGCTCTTCATGTAACTTTTTAGATTCAGGCTGGATTGGTATCTTTTATTTTCTCTCGACAATTCCAAGTTAAATCTCACCCTTCTCCATGGTTTCCCTCTCATTGTGCTGCTGCAACTTCTAATGGTAACCATTACTTACATATCTATCGCCAAAACAATTTTCTAGAAAACAGTTTTCTGTTACTATTGCTAGAAACCATTGTAAAAAGGTTTTGTCTCATGCCAAAGCTCGCTATTTTCAGGTCACAAAATCTCGTATTTCATCTCAAAAATTAAGCTTTAGAGACTTCTTGAGAATCTTTAAAAGTGTCTATAACCGCACTTATTTTCTCACAACTACAGAAAGATAAAAAAAATTTAACTCCTAAACTTATTCACGCACTAAACTCCCTTATGTTTAATCCCACAATTATCATAAAAAAGGCCGACAAAGGTGTCTTTAAAAGGGCAAATCTATTATTCCTCCTCTCTTGTATTTTTCATATTATATTACCTCACTTAAAGACAAAGAATTGTTTGCTAAGAACATCATCAATCTCATCTCTTGATTCCACTAATCACATCCTACCTAATACAGCCAATAAACAGGTTGGCATTTATATCAAAGCAGCTTCTGTATCTAAAGTGACTGTCAAAATTATTTAACAAGTGTTTATCAGAGTCTTGTTTTCTAGCATGCGGGAAAGCAGCATCTGTTAACCCTATTTGCAGCCTTGTTTGAAGTGAAGATGATTAAAAAATATATATATTTGCTTTTATGCAAAAGATTGGTTAATGTCATTCAATTTAAATGTGTAGGTATGTGTTACCTAAAAATTGTAAAAATTTTAAATTAACAAGTATGGTTATAAGTATATTTACAATGTATTAGTGCGCCTTGTTTAAATGAAATAGGGAACTGTTAGAAGCCTGAATAAGTGTTTTATTAAAGGACAGAGTAATCTGTAAAGATAAAGGGTATTTTGAGGTAATGATAAAAATGTAAAAAATGTTATATTATTATTAAAGCATGCCAACCCTACGTAAACAGTACTGAGGTTTTAAAAAGTCCGGAATATTAGCAATTTATTAACTAGATGTAGATTATACTTTTAAACCTAATTTGCAACAGAAAAATCAAAGAGCAAGAAAAGTAATATATAGTATGGCAGATCTAAGATAAGAAAATTATCAACAAAACCAGAATAGTATAATATGATAAACTTAATAAAATATGTTAAGAAGTAGAGCAGCCATTTTCAGGTTTTATAGATTAAAGACAAGAGACAACCTTTGTTACTTGGTTTAAACATGGATATCCTTGTTAAAGTTCACAGACTACTTATTTTCCCAATTAAATACTCTGTCAACATTGGTTTGTATTTTTTTAGAGATCAAAAAAATGATTTGTTGGACGTCAAAATATTGGTTTCTATTAGTTGAAGATGAAAAGATTGATTTTAATTTATTGTTAATTTATTGTTTAAATTGTTAAGTCAAAAAGTTGTTTTCTATTTGCAGGACAACAAATAGCTTTTTAATAATTATAAGTTTAGTGTTCTCAGTAAAAAGTTCGTGGCTAATTAGACCAAACATCTTTTATGACATGTTATCTGTAATGGAGATGAAGAACAACAGTAGAACAATACATGAATACTAAGGCATACTACTGCAGATATTAAGTTGTATCATTTTTAGATAATTGTAAAATAACAGAACAGAGTAATGTTGGGTTATTTTTTAATTCTAACATTTTTTTGGTTGTTTAAATTACTTTGTTTATAGGTCAGCCATCAAGTTCAAATCAGATCCTTAGTTCAGAACAAGTAAATATATTTTTTGTATTCATATTTTGTAAATTTAATAACATGCTTTTTAATTTTTTGATTGGTTTAAAAAAATTTGATTATGTATTATTTTATCTGTAATTAACTACCATGTTCAACAATGTGGTTTTCAAAGTTAAAGGGGTAGGGGACATTGTAAAATGTACATGTTTATAGTATTTATATGAAAATTAATTTGTTGGAGTATAAAACATGACACTTCCAAAAAGTGTTTAGTTGTGTGTGTGTGGAGTAGGTTCTCTTGGGTTATCACTGCATTGTTTTTTGTAACCCAAATATTTGTTGAGATTAAAAGACATATCTATAGCATATTTATATGATATATCTATAGCATATTTATATGCCCAATTGCTCACTTTTTTTGCTAGTCTAAATTAAGTGAGCGTTTTGAGAAAATGATGAGGGAAAACGAAGAATAATGAATGAAAAGGTTGCTAACCCATACCAAACCCTCAGTCGATGTAGAAGCACTCCACTGCGAGTCAGGCTATTTGTCAGTCGATGTATGTACTGAAGCCCCCTCAGCAGGCTAAAAATAAAAGAAATATTAATGAGAATGAAGAAAGTTATTATAAAAAGTATGTAAAATGTATGTGGGAGATTATTATTAAGTGTACGTGGCAGAGAAAGAGGTAAGTCATAGTCTTTTTGAGTTGATAATTTCTTTTACAATTACTTATTTATAAATTTTTTTTAAAGGGGTCCCTTTTTTTTAAACATTCTATTTGATATAAGCAATACTTGTTTTTTATATATTTTTATATATTTATTGTTACTTAAATTATCTATATTTTTTTATACTAGTTTTATCTTATACTATATATATTGAAATTTTTTTACTAATTTATATCTTATATTAATTTATATACTTTTTATCTGTTTTAGTTGTTTTAATTTTATATTTTTTTAATTGTATATTTTTATCTGTTTTGTTAATTTTATATTAATTTTTTATTGTATATTTTTTTAATTGTATATTTTTATCTGTTTGTAATTGCATACTTTTATCTGTTTACAACTTTAGTTAGTTAAAAAAATGTTTAATGATGAAGTTAGCAAATATCCCTTGGGTATTATGTACTCGTTTGGGCTAAAATCCACTCACATCTTGAACTTTTTGATCTCTCAAACAGTATTTTTGGTTCCTAATTTTCTTTCTGAAACTTTTCTTCAATTTTTTAACAAATATTTTAATCACAATTATTTTCTAAAAATTCAATTTTCAAAAAGCATTCCTTTAAAATTTTTTAAAGTTCGATTTAAAAATTTTATTTTTAAAATCAATTTTTTAAAATCTATACTTCTGAAAAGTATTCCTTTAAAAGGGATGTATAACAAATAGTTTGTCTAAAGGTAAGAATAAAAACAAATTATTTACCTCACTGAAAAGAATAGCATAAAATCTATATGAAACTTCTTGCTGGTAGTTTTGAAAACAAAGACAAGTCTATATTCGTTTGGTTCATTGAATAAAGAAGTCAACAAATGCTAATTAATGGCATCATACTTAAATAAAAGTCACTAATATTTGAAGAAGCAATAGGAGAGTTTTGGATACTGATGAGTTTAGGCTATTTTACCAATGTCTATCAAACATTATAACAGGAGAAATGTTGGCATGGCAGCAGGAAGTGCAGCAAAGAAAAATTACTAAATTTAAAAAAGAATAAAAAGAAAAATGACAAACCCAAAACCTCATGATGTTTTAAGCGTATCAAGTATTTTTGCACATAACGTAATTAGCTAAAAAGTTGGATGACTAGAGACCTTTATACAGAATCAATAAAAAAGCTGGACTTATCTTATCGTGCTCAGTACAGGAAAGTTGCACTCAATGCCTCCAAATGTCTAGTCTGTTTTTGTAGAAGTTATAAATCCACTTAAGAGTAATGCCATTTTTGGATGTATATATCAACATCCCTCTTTAAACATATGTCAACATCCTTCTTTAAACATCACTGAATTTTTATCTACTCGTTTCAATCCTCTCCTTGAAAAGTTAAGTCATAAAACAAAAAATTTTGTACTAGTGGGCAATTTCAACATAAGTTTTTTGAATTATAGAGAATCACAAGTGGTTTCTAATTATTTTTGAGTCTTTGTGCTCTCGTTCCCTGTTAATAACCCACCCATTAAGAAAAAAAGAAAAAACATTTAGCTTTAAAAATTTCCCATTCAAAATGATTCGCATTCTTTTATCCAAGAAATTTCTGAGATTCACATAAAAGATGATAACATAAGTGAATCTATAAGCTTTTTCCTTAAAATATTTGAAAAAGTATTAGACCAATATGCTCCCTAAAAGAATTAACAAAAAAATAAATTAAACTTCAATCTAAACCCTGGATAACTTCTGGTATTCTTAAATCTATTTCTAATAAAAACATACTTTATAAAAAATTTACTAGATCTAAAAATGTGAATACCAAAAAAAACTATTATTTACAAAGTTTAAGTTATACAGAAATTGAATTAACGATTTATTAAGATGTTCTAAAAATCATACTATGTATCTTTTTTTAATAATATAAAGACTACTTGGAAAGGAATTAAGGAAATTATAAACATCAAACCTTCTACTAATACTAAGTCTTTTAGTCACAAAATCAATGGAAATGTCATCTCAGATCTTACCAGTGTCGCTAATATATTTAATAACTATTTTGCAACTATTCAAGATTAACAAATTAAATATATTGTTCCTTCTAAATGTGTTTTTAAAATTATTGTTCCTTCTAAATGTGTTGTGTTTTTAAAAATATTGTTCCTTCTAAATGTGTTGTGTTTTTAAAAATATTGTTTTTTCTAAATGTGTTGTGTTTTTAAAAATATTGTTTTTTTCTAAATGTGTTTTAATATTGTTCTTTCTAAATGTTCTAAATATTGTTCTAAAATATGTTTTTGGCAATTTACCTAAAATACCTAGTACTAATTCTTTTTTCATTGGTTTTGTGACTGAAAATGAAGTGTCAAATCATAAAAAGTACTCTTAAAAATAATAAAAGTCTTGGTCCCAATAGTCTACCACCATTTATTCTAATGCTGGTATCTCACATAATCTAAAAAACTTTTATGTACTATGATGAATAATTCTTTCAAAAATTGTATTTTTCCAGAAGCTTTTAAGGTAGCAAAAGTAATTCCAATTCGCAAAATGGGTTCTCTTCTAGAATATTCCAATTATCGACCTATTTCTCTTCCTTCTAACTTAAGAAAACTGTTTGAAAAAGCAATGTTCCAAAGTCTCAAGCATTTTTTGGAAAAAAACAAATGTCTTTACAACTACCAATATGGTTTTCACAACAAACATTCAACAACTCATTCATTAATAGAAATAACAGAAAATTAGATGAGCGATCGATAACAAACACTTTGCATGTTTATTGACATAAAAAAAGCATTTGATTTTACAGTTGAGCACATAATCCTCCTAGAAGTACTGCAACACTACAATATTTTAAGTATTCTTTTTCTCTGGTATTCCTTTTAACTTTACAATACCAAAGAATAAATGTTTCTAATAATGCTATCAATTCGGAAGCTAAATCTTTTAAAGGTGTTTAACAAGGTTTTAGGACTAAGGCTTTTTCTCTTTTTTCTTGTTTTTTTAATCAATGATTTAAGTATTTTACTTTAATTTTCTACTGCTTGTCATTTTGGGGATGACGCCAACTTGCTTTTAATTAACAAATAACTTAAAAAACTTAACAAAAAGTTCCTTTTTTTATGGCTCTGCTTTCCTTCTATTAGTTTTTCCATTTTAATTGGTGCTCTGTGATAATATCGTAAGGACTTCTTCAAGCATTTTAAACACCACCTTAAAAAAAAAAAGGTGTTAACAATATTTTATTAAGTATTTTAAAAGTAATAACATTTACTAAATTATATTAAAAATATGGAATAAAATTAAAAAGTTTAGTACATAATTTTGCAATATACAATAATATTAATTTACAGTTATTTCTTTTAACTTCTTTTTAAAAGGGTAAAATAAAACATGTTTATTAGTAAAAAAAAATTACTACAATAGAAAAATGTCTTATTTTAAAAGCACTCGAGTGTCATTAAAATAAGATAAAAATTTGTTTCTTTTTTTAAATGTGCATTAAATATTTTAGCACTCATAGCCACATTTCATGGGTACTATTTGAAATATTTTAAGGAGTGTTTGAAGGGCTTCAGTTCTAAATATACTTTCGAAAAAATTTTCTTGTATTTTTAATTTTTTTTTTTTTTTTTTTTTTTTTTTTTTGTATTTACCCCAAATTTTGTCTCTTGTGCATTTCAAAATATTTTTTACTTAAACATTCCCAAAAAAAAAAAATAATAAAACAAAAAAGCTTTGAAAAATAATCAATTTTCACAAAACATAAATAAACTAAGTTATGCTGACAAAAATAAAATATTCAGTTTGTTGTAAAATGAGATATTTTACCCTTCCATTTATTGGGTTCTACTCAAATTTCACCAAAATTAAACTCCATTAAATTATAAATATTGTAAAGATCTTTTGTTCTAGAAGAAGTTTTTATTTTTATTTTTTTTATTTCACATTTTGACTGTCTCTTTAAGCATCTTTTATACACATAAAAAGGTTGTATATATCCAGTTGTTCATTAGAACACACTTAGAAAAATCTACATACATTTACTCTATCAAGATTGCATTTAAATTTTTTGTTGTTGTTGTTGACATCTGTTATTATTTTTACTTATATATGTCTCTAAGACTTGTTTTTTTTTTTTTCTTTTAACTTGTTGGTTTATTAAATCAATATTTAAATATTTTTCTATTCAATTGATTTGAATTAGATAAAAATACATTTTTATTTACATTTATTTAATTTATTTCAGGTGAGGTTGGCCTGTGAACAAGTGCAAGCATTAGGTATAACTGACGAGAGTCTAATCAGAAGAGCACTTTCACTTAGCGGCGGAAATGTTGAAGCAGCCATTAATTTAATTTTTGAAGAGATAATCCAATAATGCTGCAAGTGATCATTGATGATGATCACAAACGATGATTTATTTATAACTTTGCATTATTATTGTATTTAGTTTTAATCAAAAAATTTTCTAATACTATTCTATTCTAGTTTTTAATTCTTTATCAAGAAATATTTTATATTTGAGTATTCGCAATTAGTTTTAGCATTCAAAATTAAATTGCACTAAAATCTTTTTAGAAATTAATTAGCTCTAAAACTCATTAAATCATTCATAAAACTTGAAAACTTATATATTTATTTATTTTTGTGTATATTTAATATTTTCACTTGAGTAAGTTTTATTAGTTCAAGATCTTAATTTTATTTAAAAATATAAAGTTGTTTTTATCTGTAAAAAGCGTAAAATCGATTTGTTTGTTTTTTTTTATCAAAATTAATTTACTTTGCAAAATCGTAAAATCTTAGAAACAAAAAAAAAGTGAAAAAAAAAAATAATGTTGATAATTTGTTAAAAGAAGGCCAAAAAATCTCTCAAAAGTTGACACGAAAAAAAATAAGTTTTGATTTTTTAATAAATTTTTCTTATAAAAGAAAAGTTTATTAAAAGACTAAAAACAAGATATAAGTATAAATTAAATAAAAACAAGATATAAGTATGAATTAAATAAAAACAAGATATAAGTATAAATGAAATATAAGTAGTTTAATTATTATAACTACCACCGGCGTTGGACGGAGGAAAGAAAAACTTTACACCCACCGTGATTTTAAAATTGAAAGTTTTATTTTAAAAGTAAATATTTCTCAATTCAGTTTTATGTTTTACTTAGTAATATTAATAGAATGAATTTGGTAAATATATACTTTATACGTTAACATATAACATTTTAAATAAATTACTTTTAAAGAAAAAAAAATTAAAATCTATTAAAAAATTAAAAATTAACACGTTTTCTGCTAATCAATAAAATCAGTTTTTTTTTTTGTTTTTTTTATGTGGCTACCTCTTGAATAATTTTACTATAATAAATATAGCTTTTTACTATTACCTAATCCATCAAGGCCCGATTAAAGACGTTTAGGTTAAACAAAAATGCATACCTTCCGATAGTTTTATTGCTTTCATTCATTACTCTTTTTTCATTAATTCGTTTAAATTTTACCATTTATTTTTTTTCTTTCTTTAAATTGTCACAAGACAAACATAAATTTCACTTCTGTTAAATTTTCAATTAGATTATTAAAGTCCAATTGGCGTTTTTTAATATATATTTTTTTAATTTAATTTTATTTATTTTTTTTGTATGTATTAAGATGCTCCCAGAAGTCTTTATGGTCTCATCATAGAGTACCGCGGGAGAGCATTTGACAGGAAGTTCACGCCTCCTTCCGCACCAATGTCGCTTGTTGGGATAGAGCTGGCGTCGAACCTCAGGGTTCTGACCCAGTACTCTAACCACTGCACCACGGCTGCTATATATAATATGTAAGTTAATGTAGCTTGCCAAGCTTTTCTTAAGTCTTCACAGAAAGTTTAAAAATTTAAGGATGATATTTTTAAAAAGTTTTTTTTTAATATTTTTTTTTATTATTATTAAGGGTGTTTTTTTGTTATTTTAATGTTTAAAATTTTAATTAGAATAAAAAAAATTCCTTATAGTTGTTTAATTTGAATATTGCAGATTTTAGCTTTATTTTCAGAGATTGTTCGTTGTTTAAAATAATTAGTGATTTGTTTCTGGAAATTATTTTGTTAAACTAACAGGGACCACGAGAATTTTGAAAGTTTTGTTGTTTATAACAGTATCTTAAAGTTGCCTGTTGCTCTTGTAATGAACTTTTTTATATTCTTTTTAAAAAAAGTATGTTTTAAAATGTTCTGGAACCAGACTTAGTTTATGCTTAAATATGATAAGTATGTTTTGATAAATATTTACTTGAAATATATTTAGTGCGTTCATTTGTTCCAATAAGGGTTGAGCATGAGTAGGTTTGTTTTTGTTGTACACTCGTCTTGAAGCGTTTTTTTGACGTAAGTAAAGTGGTTCTAATTTAGATTTGTGAGTACTGCCCCATGCTATATTAGCATACATATGATAGCTATGTATGAATGAAAAGTAAACAAGTTTTAGACTTTTTTGTGACAAAAATGGGCTTGTCTTGTAAATTAAATCTATGTTCTTTAATATTTTTTTGTTTTTGATGTCTATAGAGTGCCACTAGGTTGGATCTATGGGTACTTGGCTATGCTATAACACCATACGTATAATAGGTTTGAATGAAAGAGAAATAAAATTGCGATAATTATTTTAAAAAAGCTCTCAATCCAGTGTAAAGCGACATTTTTATTGTCATTTTTTTTTCATTTTTCAAGTAGTATAGCATAATCAATGGTATTGAATACTTTTGATAGGTCAACAAAGATTCCTAAAACAAATTTGTTATTACCAAAAGAGTCATTTATTTTATTTACAAGATATAATATTGCATGTTCGGTTTAATGTTGTCTTTGAAATCCGAATTGTTTTTAATTAAAAATATTATTTTAGTTAGGTCTTTATATAGTTTATTGTAAACTATTTGTTATAGAAGTTTAGAAAAGACAAAAAGGGTTGAGATGGGTCTGTAGTCATTAAGTGAAAATGGTTAATTAATGATACGACTTTTGAAATTTTTAATTTGAATGGAACAGTTCCTTTTGTAATTAAAGATTTAAAAATTTTGAATATGGAAAGACACTTATTACTACGTTGCTTGAAACCCATCAATCCCTTGTGCTTTGTTAAATTTTAGAGAATTTTTTGTAACTTCGAGTTTATTATATCTGCGGATCGGTTCGCACATTCCTCAATATTTTTTAATCAAATGAAAATCTTCTATATTACTAAACTAAACGTATGTAAAAATCTATCTTTTGTTTATATGTGGAAGCACGATTTATCTCCTTTAATTTTTAAAGATCTTTTTATTTTGAAACTATTATGCAAGTTTAACATGAGGAATAATAAATATTTAAATGAACCATTCTGTCAAACAAAATTCAATCCATTTTGTATCACTTATTGTGCAGCTCATCTGTGGAATAAAATTATTTTGCCTAACTTCGACTTACTTCGACCCTAACTTATCTTGTTTTTAAAAATAAATAAAAAGATCTCATTCTTTCTATTGAATATATCTTAGAATATTTTTAATTTATCTTGTGATAAAAAACAAAATAATAATAATTTTTATTGTCATGTATGTTCAAGTTATTGTCATGTATGTATGTTCATGTTTTGTCATGTATGTTTAAGTTATTGTCATGTATGTTTAAGTTATTGTCATGTATGTTCAAGTTTTGTTTTATACTTGATTACAATTTATTTTCATTTATGTAAATACGATTTATTGTTTTTATATGATTTTTCACGTACTCTTATTGTAAAAAGGCGTTTTTATAATATTTTACGTACTCTTTTTTGTAAAAGGAATCTGACGATAAGATCATTGTGATCTTCTTTTTAGAAGCCTTGTTTGTATTTGAAAAATATGTAATTTACATATATTACGTCAAATGTAAACAAATTAAAAAAAAAAAAAATGATATAACTTAGTCCATTGAATTTTAGTTCGCAATGTAGTTCTGTAATATAGGTTTCAAAATAGATAATTGGGAGTGAATTTTGGACGCTGTGCTAGGGCCGATGTTTGCAAAGAAACTGTTAAAATGTTCGGCAATAGAACTTTTATCGTTGTATTTTGTTTTATTCACAACAATTCTATCAGATAAGGTATTTGTTTTTGGCATTTTTCTGTCCTTATTTCTTCTTTCATGATGTTCCATGATTTTTTAATATCAACATTGGTATTTTGAAGTAGTTTTAAATATGTTTTTAGATTTTTTACTTATTTTTTCAAAAAACTTTTTGTATTGCAGATAGATAAGTTTACTTCATTTCTGTTTTTTAAATATTTTGTGTAGAGTTTTTGTTTTGTTTTAGAGGATTTTTTAATTACACTTGTTTTTCACAAGTAGTCTGGTAAAACTACATTTATACTTAGTATGCATAAAGTACTTCACCAGCAGTTGCATATAAACTTTTTATTGAGTATGATTCAAAGCATTACATTTTATGAGAAACATATATTTGTAGATCTTTTCAAATTTATTTTTACCCAAACATTTTTTATAAATTTCTTTAAATTAACAACAGATAAAACCATAACCAAGATAAATTTTATTGAAATTTTTACGAGCAAAAAAAATTGTTCAAAAAGATTTTGATATCTTTTATATACTCTGAAGAGTACTAAATTAAAATGAATTTTCTTTATTGATAATAGCACGATAAATTTTTTTATGGTCTATTTGTTAAAAGTACTCTGGAAAAACTTTTATGCTCTAGGAGATTATTGGAGTAGCTCCTTTGAAAATTTAGCGGGTCCTTTGTATTATAATAGTATTTATTATTTATTTCAATGATCAAATATAAATACAATAATCCATTTATAATTTGATGAAGAGGTGCTACATTAGGCCCCTCTATGCTGACGAACATGGAGATACAGACGCTACAGACAAAACAGCAGTTGTATCTATAAAGTTACTTTCTTATGTTGTTTTTAAAGCGATGATGGATTGAGCGTTCACTGCTTCTTGCGAAAGTGCATTCCATGGGGCGACAATTCTATTTAAAAAAAAAGTTATATCGCTCCTCACAGTTTTTTACCATCTGACGTTCTAGTTTATGGTTATGGCCTCTTAAAATATACTTATCTTTACCTTTTTGAAAATTTTTGCGGGACGACAAAACTGACAAGCTCGAGTTTACGAGTGATTTTGAATTGCTCGATAAGATCTGCTCTTTTGCGGCGTTCTTCAAGAGTTGTTAAACCGAGCCGTTGGAGTCGATCTTCATAGGACAGGTGTTTAATAGTCGATATTGTTTTTGTTACTCGTTGTTGGACTTGCTCGAGAATGGCAATGTCAGATTTTAAATGCGGTGACCAGGCTTGTACAGCAAACTCAAGATGGGGGCGAATGTAAGTAAGATACAGAGTGCACCATAATTAAAAACTGCGACTTCAAAATGTTTTTTTGAGTCGCCCTAGCATTTTATTTGCTACTGATGCGGCTGACTCTATTTGCGGTCT